GAGCTCATTACTGTCAATTGAGGGCTACATTTGTAAAGTTTAAAGTGCAAAATAAGATAAGGCACAGACCACAGTCAACGGCAGAGGTGTTTGTTGTTGTTGTATTGAAGAAAGTATTTTGAGAAAGTGTCTGCAAAATGCAACAAACTCCTCCATCACAACGCTAAAACCAGCTGTCTAATGCAACATCATAATGATGAGTGATTATCGTCTGTCAGAATAGACTAAGCAGATGTTCAATCTCTCTTAGGCTAGTCCATCAATTTAATGATAATTCAATCTCTTGTAGATGCGTTTATTTATTGTTCTTGTAGCAGGAGTGATAGTGGTAGTAGTTGTTGTTGTTGTTAAGACAGTACGAGCGCCACAGTACCTTGGCCTTTGTGTGCAGGTGATGATGGTGAAGGTTTCTGGCAGCGATCATAGCCAGCTGTCTCTGGATCCACTGTAACTCCATCTGAGAGCGCCTCAGCAGCTCCTCCACATGACCACTGGATGTGTGATCCCGCATTATCACCTGTAAAACCCCACACAAGCACAGGTTACACACACTGCCTCAGATATCCATAACAATTACTGAATCTCACATGAAAACAAAACATACTAGTGCATACGTACATAATAATGAGTATAATAACTTTAATAAGACGTATGCACAGAAAACACATGCTGAAACTGCACTTGAGGAATTCTATTTAACATTTGTATTGGTGCGATTGCAGTTGAGAACTTTGGCATGTAATTAACAGCATAAAGTGAAACTGAATTCATGTGTTAGTTTTTTTTAATTTCAAATTAGATACAGTTTGAAACAGGCTGCATGATGGTTGCAGTGGTCAGCCCTGTTGCCTCCTCACAGCGAGGACGTTCCTGGGCCTGCCCTGTGCTGGCTGTGGTTCTCTCTGGCTACTCTGTAGAGATGAGGTAAAAAATCGAAACAGTATAGTATCGAGATATTTTGTGTGGCGATATTGTATCGTCTCATGGCAGTCAAGTATCGATATTTTTAAAATGATATTTTAGATATGTTTTTTTTTTTTGCACTATTCATTTTGAACAAGTTGCACTGTTAAGAATTAAATTAGACTGAAATACAAATAAAAAAACTGAAGTGAGATGAACAGACTTTGAATTTCAACTCATTTGACAAAACAGTTTTGATTTAGCTTAGTGTAGTGGACATAATATGTCGTTAAAAAGCTTAATCATGGGGCGCTGGTGGATCAGTGGTTAGAGTGCGCGCCAAATGTAATAACGTAAAAAATAATAACGCGTGGTGGCCCAGGTTGGAATCCAACCTCTGGTTCCTTCCCCGCATTCCCACTCTCTCTCTCTCTCCCTGATTTCTGACTCTATCCACTGTCCTATCTCTCCAATAAAGGCACAAAAAGCCCCAATAAAAAAAAAAGCTAATCACAACATATTGTATTGCAATTCTCAGCATATCGCAAAATGTTAAAAATCGCAATAGAATTGTATCGTGTCTCGAGTATCGGGATAATATTGCCTCGTGGGGACTCCCACCCCTACTACTCTGGCTTCCTCCCACAGTCCAAAGATTGACTCTTCATTGCCCATAGGTGTGAATGTGAGTGGGGCTGGTTGTCTGTCTCTATAGGTCTGTCTCTGTGATTGACTGGCGAGCTGGGTGTACACCGCCTCTTGGACACTGACGACCCCAAACGGGAAAAGCTGTATAGATAATGGATGGATGGAAAGGACATTTTGAAACTTAACGCTGGACAAATCCCCTCAATGTAGCAGTTTACATGACTAATACTATACTCTAGTACAGGGGTCTCCAACCTTTCTTCATCTGAGAGCTACTTTGAAAAAATGAAAGTGGCCGAGAGCTACTTGCATTTATTTACATCGCACACATCAGCTGAATTAAGCTACTGTTTGTACACGTGTGAAATTGCAATAAGCCAATGCTTATCAATAATCTTAAATTCACATCAAGGTCCAAGAAAAAAACAGAAATATTTAACACTTCTTATTGTGCCACATAGTAAGCTATGTTGCTGAAAATTCACATCAATGTCCAAGAAAACATTACTACTTTACACTTGTTTTTATGGGCCACATATATGAATAGTGGGAAGAGGTGCATTTACTGTTGTCAGATTATTCTTTTTTTTAACACAGTCGGTCAACCTATTGGCGGACTACTTAAAACCCTCCCAAGCTACCTGTTGGAGAACTGCTCTAGTATCTATTGCTTTACATGCTGCATAAATACCATTATAAATCACCATGTGTTTGATCAATGGAGTTTCTAGTCTGACTAACTCTGCACTATTTCTTTGGTAGGCTGACACCAAAAGTAATTCCTTAACGACAAAGACAATGTTTTCAGATATCCTGACAGTGTGCATGTTCATCAATAAAAGAACAAATCAAAACAATAAAGTACAGTATAATGCATGAATATATATCTATCTATCAAATCTTGTAAAAGAGCATTATGACACTTACTGTGCAGCGTGTTCATCTTCTTTCATCAAAAAACACACAACTTGCGTTTAACCATAACTAAACCAATCAGTCCCTGACAGCTGAAGTTTCCAGTTTCTTCTGCATGCACAAGAAATTTCAGATTTTTTATGATCGACAAACATACATGTGTGCCCATGTGTACAAGGTTGTTGAGGGGGGGAGAGAGGACTCCACTCAGTTACATAAGAGAGGATTACTGTATCACAGCAACACACAAGACACGAGGGAAGCCTGGCAAAAAACAAAACAAAAAAAAAACATCAGCTTCCATCAGTCACTTTCCATTCCCGGTGTTTGTTGTCCTGTTTGGTACCTTTTTACAAGCGCTACACAAACTGTCAGTCACACACACTCACTAATATACCCCCAATTCACAGAAACTACTATACAGTGACACAGGGAAAGTTAAGAAGGTTAATGCTGCTCCATCATTATATACACACACACACACACACACACACACACACACACACACACAGCATTTGAGTAATCTGATTTCTGACTATTAGAGGATTGCATTTCTTTTGCAATAAACAACAGGTCAGGCAGGACAAGCTCATATTTTAACGTCTCATTGATGATAGCGATAAAAGAGGCCTCTGTAACAACAAAGTACTAATAACTATAAATATATAATAAATAATAACTATAATGGAAAAGAAGTGAAATAATGTTCATACTTCTTCTCACAGCTAGGATTAACAGATACCTTCTCCTGTGTCTTAGAGCCTCAGCTCACCAAATGCTCAAACAGCTTCTCCGTGCTGCTGACTCACCTTGGACAGCTCCTATTTCCTTGCAGGGGACTTGGGAGGAAGAGGAGGAGGAGGAGGACAGACACAAACAACAAAACAACGCACAGGAGTCCTTATGCAGAAATGTCCCATCCTTGCCAAGACCTCTATGAACCTGCAGTGCTGAGCATTTCTGTTACAGATTTATCAAAGAGACAGGAGAGAGCTGTGCCTGCGTCATTATCCATGCCTGAAGGAGGGTTCTCATTCGATATCTATCTACCTTTTAATTCATCAATCAACCCACTACTAAGATTGATTTAATGTTAATGCTCTGTGATTTGACACGTCACAGGAACAATTGGGGATTAGTTATTGAGTTGCTGCATTATTTCAAAATAAAACAATGGTGCCTCTCACAAAATACTTCTTTAAAAGTTAGAGGATTGGAAACTGCAGTTCGCACAGTGTGCTTAAAAAAAAAAAAGAAGACATAAATAAATGCATTTAAGGATATGATGTTGCACTTTGAAAGTGCATAGTTTATCATAATAAATAATATAATAATTGACATACTGTTACGGATAAACTTAGAAGATGATTACCCATCCAAGAGACGCTCTTTGGTTTCTCTCGTCCTCTTCATGGCGACTTTGTGCATGCTAGTCTCTCCTCTGTTTGCGAATTCTGGCGCCATATGTCATGTTATTCCCAAGAAAATACTTTTTTTTTCTTCTTAAATGAAAAAGATAAATGAAAGACTCGACTCATTACAAAGTTTTCTCTTGCATACATAGGCCTATACCACTGCACCACTACCTAACTCTGTTCAACGTGTTCATCTCTGCAGCTGTCTGTCTGTGTCTTACTGCTTGTGTTTGGACTACTTCTCCCTGCTTTGACTCTGACTTGCTCTTTTCTGACTGAACTCCGCTATGATTCAGAATTTTTCTCTCACGGCGTTCTTGTACCCGAGGCTGCCTGCTGTGTGACCATATGGCTCACAAGAGGATAAAATAAACAAACAGAAGGTGGAAAAAGAAGTATTTTAAGCTAACCTCTTACCTGTATATATATATACAGGTAATATGTTGCAGCTGTGTACCTCATTTTGAACATTTATTGAATGCAAATTCATATTACAACCTACCAAGTTCTCTGTATACTATACTAAGTGTATCAAAATGTTTATAACAAAACCCTAAGTCTTTACATTTTAACTCTCTTGCTACTACATTTGATGACGTCCTTGTATTACTAAGAAATGGATTTGAGTGTTGGGAAATACTATACTTATTTTTTTTTATCGCATACTTTGTTATGGAAGTATGGGTAATGGTTTAAACATCCACTTTTCCTCATTCTTCATTGTGTACAGTTCGTTGACCTCACAGCATTACCAAGCATGACCACTTCCAGCCTGCCTGCAATCAACCTGAAGGTGTAAACACCTGCGTGGGTTTACAGGTCATTCAAACTGCATTATATTTTTCGAAATAAATGAAAAATGTGGACACGTACAAATGTAAAGTTTAGTTCTTTTAGTAGTGTATACTGGTTTGAGCTTTCAAGCTGATTAAAAAAAAAAAAAAAAAAAAAAAAAAAAGCTGTACTCGAGACTATAGAAAAATGATGAAATGATCTTTAACTACAAACCGCCATAGAGCTGTCATGGCGTGATGTTTATAATGGATGACCATAAAACTTACAAATTAAAATGGAATAAAATGTTCCATATATTGTTTAAATAAACCACATGATTGTATATCCCTTAAAATGTGCCTAACAGACACAAAGACATTTATTCTCCATGAGCTCCAGACATTATTTTTATTGATGCGTAAAAAGTGACACATCACAACATGTAACAAAAAAATACAAATCAATTTCTGCTGTTCTGGTCGCTCCTGGTCCCAAAAATGATTAGAACACTGAATGCAGCTCCTTGCTTCTTCGCCTTTTTTCAATCCAGGGAGAAGTTCTGCCCCAACACGTCTCCTCCTCCTTTTAGTAACTGTGTGGCAGTTTCAAACTCCAGTGGGACGCTCTTGATCTGAGTCTGGTTCAGGTCTCTCTCCATCATCTGGGGATAATAAGAACATGGAACATATTATCCATGATAACCAGAAAAAGTTCTGCAACCGCGCTGTAACAGCAGGAGCTCCACATACACACACACACACACACACACTCAGACATGCACACACAGCGCTGTTCTGCATGTGTCCATCGATGCACTCAAGATATCACAGGGGTGTAAAATACTGCGCCTGTAGTGGGCAGTCTGAAAAGGGCTTCTGAAGCACCACATTACCTCAAATGTTGTTATCTCCAAAACCGCGTCGATGTCATCCTCCTTTTCTGAGAGCGGCGTGTTGATTAACATCGCAGCTTTGGCCACATCTGGATGGTAATGCTTTTGCAGTGTCTGCAGAAGAAGAAATAAAAAGAAAAGAGTACTTCATTTGAAAAATATTCAATACTTTTATTTAGTTGGATTTTTCGAACTGCCATCATTCCTCCCAGTACTCTCTTGTTTTGTGCCGAATTAGCTCACTTATGGATCACTCATTTGTACAGACCTTAATCTCCCACAAGCTGCTCTCTAAGGCCCGGCACTGAGCAGGATCCTCTTCATCCATAAGATACGGGTCCTCCAAGGGCTCTGTCATTACCAAATGTACCATACATCACATTTAACCTTTTCAAGAAGATTGTACATCACAGTGGAAATCCTCAGGAATTGAGAAATGTGAAATGATCTTAATATTATAATGAATCATTCTGGGAATACAAAACCGCTGACTCTTTACTAAATGGTTATTTACAGATGTGTATACTAATCCTTACCATCTCCTGCGCTGGGCCTGTGGATGAGGACTCTGCAGGACGGGTGGCGACGGATCAGGTTGTATAAAAAGGGCAGGACGATGAGGAGGGCTGTGGGCGGGACTGTGAGAGCCAGACGAGCCAGGCGTTTGGCAAAGGCAGCGACTAGGTACACCGGCAAGTGACTGAAGCCAAGCACAAACATGAACACAGATTATTATTACCAATGTATATGAGCATTTTGAATTGTTACAATAATTATGATTACCGGTAATAGTTTAATCTAATAAGAATTGTTAGTTAAAATGAGGCTATCGTGAGAGATGTAGAAGTCAATCTATAACTTTGTTGCTGTGACTGCAACCAACAGTACTACTACAACTGTTAACCTTTTCAGTGTTAAAAAAAGAAATATGTTGAAAACTATGACATGATGAACTCAAATTTAAGCAAAACCAGGTTGAGCTTACCTGGAGCTGAGGAAGATGTTCGTTAGGTGGAAAAAGCGCGCTCGGTACTTCACGTAGAAAACAGAGGGCTCGAGTAGATTATACAACTTCCTGTAGAAATCAGGGTAGTCTCTGCACACACACACACACACACACACACACAGAACAGTAAGAAAGGGTTTTTCCAGATTTTTTTTTTTCCAATATTGTGTTATTAACAGGACTATAGGATCAGTCCATATTGTTATATTTGATCATATACTCACAGGTTGTGTTGATGGATGAGGACAAACAAGCCATTTAGAGCCAGCAGGCTGATAGCGCCACCTGTTCAACAAAAAACAAAACAGGCTTACCAGCTTCACCCTTTCAAAAATATAACATGTCATATTCTTGATACAGAAAATACCACAACGCTTCTTTAAAAGGATTCCTTTCGCACTTCACTTTTAACTCACAGGTGCAACTTACCAACTTCATAGGCAGCAGTCAAGAAGTCAATCATCAGCGTGGGTTTACTCATGTGGGGAAGAATGGAGTCATGGAGGATCACCAGAACCTTTTTATACATGCTGTTTGGCAACTACAACAAAACGAGAAAAAGCATAGTCTTGATGGTACAGACAGATCCATGAATGTGTGAAGACATTTCTAACATTACAAAATAATTTAGGTAGATTGAAGGATACCTTATACTTAAGAAAGCCCAGCCACATCCTCTCAAAGGCCCGCTTGTGTTCCTTTTAATGAGATATAACATCAAATATCATACTCAATCACAGTTAAAGCTGCAAAAAGAATATGAATGTGAGATTACAAAATGTTACGTACAAGCAGTTTAGCAGCTTTCCAGTCCTCGTGCTTGGCTGGAAGAAAGAAAAAAAAATGACACTCCTGATTTATGTCCTGGCAGTGACAGTTTGTTGTAAGGGGAAAGGATAAAAGCCACTCTCACCTTCCTGTTTGACCATGAAGTTGGTGAGCTCTGACTCCTGACTTGGCACGCTGATGTTGGACATGATTGTGAACACATTGCGTTGATACAGCAGCATCCCAGCCTGAGAGGAACAAGACAAACCATCAGCACATCAGTCGAGTAATGATTCCTGAACTCTTATATAATACATCCACTTCAGTGAAAGCACAGATACATTCAGCGTTTTCTTACCCCTTTGTTTTTGTCCATGACTCGGCCAACACTCTCACGGATGAAGCTCATGGCATAGTAGCGTATGTCCTCCATCTCAAGGAACTCCTGGAATCTGGAGATCTGCAGGGAGTTGTCTCTCGTTTTGGACAGCAGTCGGTCCACCACAGCCTGACGGGGAAATAGTAAAGAGAGAAAGATCAGAAGGCGCACGAGCAACTAAAGATTAAACGCTTTGGTTATTTAAACGGTCAAAAAGAAAACTGCTGTATTTCTCGTTTGGCTTTAAACATATTAAAAGATGTTGAAGTAAGACATCAGAACAGATAAAGGGACAGCACTGTTCCCAAGACAGATGTCCAGGTTGTAAGACACAAAATGTTACCTGGATGAGGTGCCTTGGGAAGCTGTAGTGTTCCGTCCAGTCCAGGTCCTCGAGGGGATGCTGTCCTTCTGCAGCAGCGAACTTCATCAAGCAGCACAGGGCGCTCTCCTGTTATCGGTGAGAGAGGATTACTTGACTTCCTTTCTCAAGTCCATGAGAGCAGCATCACAGTTCAAATCACCCACCCTGCAAGACAGAGCGCTACCGCAGGTCGTTTATCCCATCTGCCGTCAGACTGTTTAATCAGACTCTTTAACAACATCACCACTCACATCAATAATGCTACACACTGTGTGTGTTTTTAATAATAAGTCTTTCCACAAGTGGAAGTGCACATACCTGGTATTATTCTATTATTTTATTTTTTCTGCCTTCATTTAACTGATTTACATATGTTTGATTTTTATTTTTAATGATTTATTCCTTTTTCATGTTTTCTTGAGCTGCTGCAATGCAAAAATGTCTCCCATGGGGGATCAATAAAGTTCATCTTTATCTTTAAATTTTATAATAACACATACATTATATATTACTATACTAAAAAATAATGTTTATATTAACAGACCTCAAGAAAGTGTTATTATAAATAAAACGATTGTCAGTAATAACAGTTAATCTTACCAAACTATTTACTTTTGCACAAAAAAGGAACAACCCATGTAAAGCACACAGCTTTATGACTTTGGTGAGAAGTTATGAAAAAGTACTACCTGCATGCCTCGCCACGTACACCATCTTTAAAGTACTTTAAGTCGAACCATTTTGGTTAGCTGCATGATGCTTATTTATGTTCATCTTAGGTAAACACATTAGTTTAGAAATAAAAAATAAAAAAAAAAAAAAAACAAGACTTCAGCTGGGTCCCTCCTTGAGAACAGAATGAGAACAGTCTTCACGCGTGTTTTTTTTTAGTGAACTCACATAAACTTCAGGATGTCCAAGGCTGAGGTGCTCCAGCAACATCTCCACAGAGCTGTTGTACCGGTGTCGCATGAATATCTGATACTTCTCTTCAGCGCTGTAGCCTCCTAACCAGATAACAAACACAGAGACGAACATGATGGTGGGATTTGCAGTCATGGAATGACCAAACCTGCTGTACTTTTAACACATTTACAGCGCAAGTCTTAGCTGCTTTTCTATCAGTCTGTAGATACAGGACTGTTGACTATAAACTGGCTTGTATGGTACATCAGTCTCTACTCTAATGATTACATGATGCACACACACCACACATTACAATCTGCACATTGCACTTTGACACCCTGGACACTTTACACACTGTTTACATTATTCTATATTGTATATTCAAACATTTCTTTTTGAAATGTTACATTATATTCTATTTTACTGTATATATGTGTACTAGTAATTTGAGTGTTTATTGCATGGCCTTGCGGAACAGTCTTTACATTTCACTGCACATCTGTATGAGCATGTGACAAATACAAATCTTGAACCCACTCACCACTCAACACCTCGTCCTCTCCAGGCAGCTTCCCCATAAACAGCTCTTTCCTCTCCAACAAGGAGCAGAACAACCTGCTGCACGCATTGACAGCACTGATAACCGACTTCTCTCTCTCGGACTGAAACGGACATAAGGGGTGAAAACATACACAGTGTGTTAAAGGGTGGTATTTACAACCAGTGTTTTTAACAGTGAAGCTCGCTAACCAAGCATGTGTGTGTTGGGTTGCGTTATGTGAGCATCTTCGTGGAGTAGTCACCTGAAGACCTTCAAGGATGTCAAAAACGTCGTTGGCATGTTTTCGGCTCTCAAGTATGTCATCGACTTTGCTATCAAGGTCCAGTTTGGCTATTTTAATACTTCTTTCTGTTGTTTTCGCCGAACTCACGTTGCGTTTCTTGGTCGACGCCATGATTTCTGACTGATGCGGCGTTCACGTAACGCTGGAATAATACGTCAAATGTAATGTCTAACCAACACCATAGGAGCCAACGATTATAAAACATATTTATTATGTTAGTAATTTGATTCTTTTTTTTTTTTTTTGTAAATATCGCCCCGATTGGGTGTTTGTAACATGTGTTTTTATGTTTTGCAATGTATTATAAAAGCTGGGGGTTAACGTTTAGTTTATGTCCACGGTACATTGAATGCAACATTACTCCAAATTCCAGACTGTTGTGTCTCCTAGTGGAGGGAGGGTGAAGTTCAGCTTTGTTTCCCCCCCTTGTAGGATACTGATGGGATGAAGCCTTTATACAACTGCAAACATTAAGTCCTTCTTATATGATTTCTTGCAACACAAAACATTTGGATTTTTAATGATGATAGTGGTTCTAAAATGAGCGTACAACATTATTTTTTATCAATAAATAACTGACTGTACAACATGTATTATACACTATACTAAATTCTCCATTTATTGTAGCTGATTTAAAAAAAATGGTTTATTTATTTCAATTATGTTGACTTTTATAGATGAATGTATGCCAATAAAAATGTGTATCTAGTAGGGTAGATCATCGGTAGAAACATCGAAATTAATATGAGAAACAAATTATCACAAGGAAAAGAGAGGATTTTATTAACATTGTGGTCTTTTAATAACTTTTGGAAAAGAAAAGCAGAATGTAATCCCACAAAATCATGGAAGATGTAATGTCGAACGTAAAATGAAAGCCAACTCTCAAAAGACAGAGAATGTTTGTTGAAAAGAATATTTCTTCTTTAAGCATGAAGGGCCACTTAATCAGAGTCATTTCCTGTAATCTCTGCGTTGTCCTGGGGAGAAAGAACACCAACAATGAATAAGACATGCAATAAAAAACAATCCGTTTAGAAGTCAAGCATCAGGGTTTTAAAAAGTTAGTTTTTAAATGGTGCCTAGATACCTTTTCTTTTTTCTCTTGTGTATTTGTAGCTGAAGCTTCAAAGTCGTGGATTGGAAGTGTGGCCATCCAGCTGACCATGGAGCCCTCCTGACACTCTGTCTCCACAATGGTGGGGTAGATTTGAGCCTCCTTGAAGGCCTTGATTGCCTCCTCCTCGTTCTCCCATTCCAGCGTCTCATGCAGCCCGTCCCCTCCAAACTTTTTGTTGTACCGGTCGAAGTGAACCCTTTCCAGAACCAGCCCAAGTCCTGGAGCTTTGGGCACATCCACCTTCTCCAGTCCCCAACTCCGCTCCACAACCTCTTCCTTCGCATAGCCCCTTATCACCGCGATCACCAGTCCGATCATTTTACGAATTTGGTGCAGCATAAAGCTCTGCCCTCGCACTGTGATCACCGCGAATTCAGTACCGCTGCAGACAAAAGGCTCTCCACAGGACATCTCCATGATGTAGCGGCGGGCACTGGGGTCGCTTGCAGCCTTCTGAGAGGTGAAGTTGTGGAAGTTATGGGTGCCCTTGTAGAGAGCAAACAGACGGTTAGCCCTCTGAAGTGTCTCGGGCTCAAGGCGAAAGCCTGTAATGTCCCCAGTATCATAGTCTTTGGGAGAAAAGGCCACCGTTGGAAGCATATAGGCGTATGTGCGGGCATCACAGTTGTTTTTGGAATTAAATCCCTGGGTCACCCGCTTGAGACCTTTTGTGTATATAAAAAAAGAAAAAAAAAAAAAAAGGGAACAATAATGTGGTTATAAAAAACTTTCCTTTTAGCTTCAATCAATAACATATGATAAGGAAAATATATAGCATTATTGTAATGTCTAGGTAGGTGAATTATACTAACATTGTGGACGTAATGTGTGTAATCAGGAAAATAATCAGATAAATAACCATGGTCTCACCGAGTACTCTTATCTGTGATGGCAGATGCTCGTTTATTTTTGGAATTATATCTTCCATGAGCCGCAGTTTGAGAGACACAACTTGGCCGGCAGCGGACACACCCTAAACAAAAGCAGACAAACACCGAACACAGTTTGACATACAAAGTTAGAACAATGCATGACGCAATTCTTTCTCTTTTGTTCATTCATTCACTTCAACACCACTCTGTTTGTTACCTGTCAGGCAAAAAGGCAGAAGTAGATGTCTGATTGTCCTTCAAAAATGTTTCCATGAGCTGTAAAAAAAAAAAAAAACATACCTTATCTGTTCGGGCACATCTTTGGAAAGACATCTTCCTCATATCCTCGCCATGGTTTTCAGGAATGCAACCAGATTTAGTAAGTGAAGTGACCAGGGCATCTTCAATGGTCCTAAACTGAGAGGTTCCTGGATTTCTCTGAAACACAGAAAACATTCAAACTAAAAGCAAGCAAACACACGAATTATAAAAGATGACAGGGGGCAACCCAGCCACAGCATTTACCTGCATGCCATAGTATCCCTTTCCGGAGTATGCCAGGAGGAGGACAACTTTCTTCTTCGGATATTTCTTATCATCTTCAGTGGGTTCGCCCTCTACTTTTAACCTTTTCGTCGCTTGCACCTTGTCAGCAGAGTCCTCGTTTTCTTCATTGGCTCTTTTCACAAGCTTGGCTGCACACTCGTCTCTGGATCCTTGACTCATCGTGCAAAAGGTCTGTAAATAAACACCTGTGAAGTCAACACCACGCATTTCTTGTCAAAGTTGCTCTGATATCTGATATCCCCGTCAAAGATTCATCTACAGGTAACAACAATGAATCAAAAATTATCATATTTTCTTCTCTTAAGTTTACCTACCGTTTCTCTCAAACGTCAGTCTGTGTTTAATAAAGGCACTCAACAGTAGTCGGGTTTTTAGCATGTTACCCTAAGCCTCCATAGCACCAGCTTGCACCACCTAAAGGATGCAAACTATCAAATACATGTAAAAACGGAAGCTAGTCCCGGAAACAGAAAGTTCGAATAAAAAAAAAAACTACAAGTAATCCGTTGATGAAACATACAACCTCCAAATCCCAATGCTAAAATTCATGTGTTGCTATAAATGAAATTGTAGCTGTTTCAAAGAGTTATGTAGCAGCTGCGGCAACATTTACACATGGCAAATATCAACTTTGACCCCGGATGTTAGTATCGCGAGACTCACGTTGCCTTCCCGTTTGATACGTCATAGTCTATGGTCATAGATTAATATTTACAGTCGTCGTCCCCTGTACAATGGGCAAATTAATTAGTGTTAGCTTCTTTGTGAACAAAATACGGATTTTTTCTTGTTCCACTTTGATTGGGTTGTGCGTTTAAAATAAATATGATGCATTTTAGCATCTTAATATAGCCTACATTATTATCTGATAACTGTGGAGTCAATTTAGTTGTAAAAATAGCGTCTCTCGTGTTTACATTTAGGCTCGTACGCTAAAAATGTCCTTACACTAAGACATACAATTTTAAGAAAATGTTCCTCAAAGTATGTTTTTTGTCCACTTGAGGGCACCACAATTACACAAATAATGCAGGCAGTATGCAATTTCGAAGGAAAATTGCACCAAGTTACGTTATTGTTTGCATTGTTGTCCTGTTTACTCAATAAATGTTGTGATCCTGTGAACAGCAATATTGCATATGAAATGTTGTCGTTTTTTTCAAGCTTTTATTTCAATGGAGTATTTTATACTTCGATGTAAGGTAGATTCTCATTTATCAGGGTAAAGGCTAAGACTCAAAATCTTGTTGTAGGCCTATAGAACGACTGTTTTTAGGAGTTTACTAAGACTTTACTACTTATTCCAGACTTACATTTACTCTAATGCACCTAATAATACTGACACTATAATGGTGGTTTGTTGTACAAACCAAAAACAAGTTGCAGCTGCACGACATTTCACCTAATTGTAGTCCATGAAGAACGTCTAGTCCTCTACCATAACAATTGGTGATGCTGTGACTCGTGTAGCTGTTAAACATGTGGGTAGATCCTTAAATCAAATTAAACTGGGAAAATAAGCATTTAGCACATAAAGAGAAGATAGTGTAGGTGTCTGGGTCATTCTTAATGACTCCACAGCAACAAGGGATACTGGTTTCCTGGAAGCCAATAAAATTCTTATCGTGGGATGGCCTGAGGATGCCCAATTGCACTTTTTCCTAAGCCCTTATAAGGTAATCAACTACTTTCGTGCTAAAAACCAAATGCCAAACATAGACCTGCTACTGGAAAATGGCCCGAGTCGGGTCACCACTATTTCACGTCACACAAAGCATGTGCCCCCTTTCTCCAACAAACACTTGTTGTACAGGGCTGCTGTGATGCTAAATGTGAAACAGTGATTATTTCAGGTTGGTGTCACAGTTAATCATGTTCTGTTGTGTAAAAGGCTGCAGAGAAGGATTGTTTCAGTATAAAACCAAACACTGCTTGATGCTTCGATGACAGTGAAAAACACCCCTAAATTTAAAAGAGTTAAGAGACCTGCTCAGGTGAGGTTCACATGACTTACAAGGCTCTTAACTTTGTGGATGAAAACATTAACTTTATTTGTGGTAAATAACCATGCATTTGTTCCTGAGGGAGACACACTAATCATGTCTTTTGCAACATCGTTAAAGGTTTTTCACCCCTGGAGTCAGACTTAAACAAAGCAAACCTTGATTATGTCCTTTGGTGTCCTGAAATTCTTCATTTAAAGTCTGACAGAGAGAAATGAGCACCACAAATCAGACCGCAAAGACAGATCTTTCAGTCTCCCAAGACAGCATTGTCCTTATACAGCAAGCCACTCAACGAGCCGTTGAGATAGACCTAAACCTCTCTGCAAAGCTCACAAGCAAGCAACGAGTTCACAAGCAACTCTTACAGAGCTGGCCACATTTCTTTAAGAAGGAAACAGCCAAAGCAGACCGGATCAAACAGAGACTCGCTGCCTCCAGTGCCCCCACATATAGCAAAAGATGATTAATTAAAAAACCATCCTCACTGTCCTCAAATAAATCCACAGCTGTTAGAGCTCTTGCTCTGCTGACTGAGTTATATAATCTGCCACACAAAGCAAATATCACATATTTCTTAAACGTGGAAAGGAAATGGAGTGAATTCAGTGGCAAATATAAAATATACAACACAATGATTTTAAAGACTTAAATGGGGGATGGAAAAACCCTATTTCCCCCCATATGTATTCAGCTTCTTTATTAATTCACAGCTTTCAAACATCATGGTTTATACTCAAGCAACAGTTAAGCAGAAAGAAATGCAAGTTGTAAAGTGTCACATGACGTCTCCAATTAAAAAAACAACAACTCAGCATTAGAGACCCTTGTTGGTCTCCCTTGATATGTTTTGATCCTCCTTCTATATGAGACACTCTGAGAAAAAATTGTCGATTAAGTTTAAAATGTTTTGCTCTCAAAATGGTTCAGTTTTGTAAATATACATCATAGTTTATTCTTTAAGATCCACCCCACTGCAGTGGCCGTAGACATGTTCTGTTTTGACAGAAGCACATTTAGTTCCCCACAGCACATGCAGCCTTTCATACACATATTGCACAGGGCAGCAGTTATTTGTGCTTGTATAAGTTGCTTCTTATTTCATAAGTACATTTTTCCTGTGTGTTTCCAGAAATCTTTCCATAGGTAATTTGAACTGAAGCGTAACATCTAGTATGGTTGTAGTAGTCAAAACCAAATGGGAATTGTCCTTTAAGACATTCAAAATGTTTTGCAGTTTTTCCTTGGCATAATAATTAAACTATACAATGAAATATATTCCTGTTTAAACTGCAGCAAATCAATTTAAAGTCTTCTTTTTTTGTGTGTGTCTTACTTATTCTTGTGTGTTTGATTTCATTTTGAATCGGGTTTTAACAACTAAATCCAACTCTCCACAGTGTTATAAGGTGTTCCCTAGTCATTCTGTTCGTCTGATTGTAGGAGCAAAGATTAATCACAGCGTCCAAAAATAGCTCGCTGATAGACAGGAGATACTGTGGGCTGCAAACGGCAGAAACCACATCTCTTATCATCAGACATTTTAACTATCTGCTTAAAGGATTCTTTTACCTATGAGGTAAGCAGTAAAGGAAAGTGATGCTTCTTCTACTTTAACAGACCATTCATATTTGACACTTTAACAAAATGTCAGAAAGCTAATGATATTACCAGCCTTATATCACTGACACTATCATAAATCTAAATGAGAGTGCTATTCCAAACAACTCAATATTGATGACATACACAAGAAAACATCTATAACATATGATCAGGCATTCCAATGACTGCATTACTTTGGGGATATGTAGGATCTTTTTGATCACTCGAAAGTTTTATTTTTTTCTTATTAACTTTCCAGTGACATTCGTTTTCATCTTGAGACCGTTCGGTGACCGTGTATGCATAAAGTGATGATAACAAATATGGGCATTCAAACCCTGAACACACCACCTTTGTTAAAGTTTGATTGTGTTTTTAGGACTAGGCCTACTTGTGCACACAAATCAAAGACACATGTCTGCCATTGCAGGCAAACTAGAAAATAAGCTATTTTCTATTCTACTCTTAATCAGAAAGGGGGCATTTGGATGACAAAATAAATTATTTTCAGTTTTTTTTCTACAAAGTATATTATTACATTTTTTTTTTAGCCTATGGCCTATATTTTCCCATTAATAAACAGGGGTTCATATATGGTAGCCTTATTATTATTTTGATTCAAATTTAATTTACATTTAAAAGAATGAACTAACATAAGAAAATACTTCAACATGGCTGGTATAATCATATAAAACCATAAAATAAATGCCGGTGAATCAATCGAACCATAGACTGTAAATATACGTCCTGGAGAGAGAAAGAGTGGGATTTCCGGTTTCTCCGACCAATGAGCTGATTCCACATGCGGACACCGAACACCGCATTTGACGAACGCGAGAACTGCAGCGGACAAACGCGATTGGTGCCGATCGGGACGCCAGCGATTCCGCAACACTCAGACACACAAGGCAGGAGCGAAGTGAAGGGGAGCGGAGCGGCAACTTTGGCCACATGTTTAAATTGGACGACTTCATACTGGGATTCGTTATGTCTCAAAGACGAGGGCGTTATTAGAGTATCCCACACGCGTCTTGGGGGGTTGTTGGTATGAATCGCTCGTCTTAAGGTTTTTTTTTTATCGTAAAGCTAGCGGAACTCAGCCGGCGAAATCAAGCGGAGCCAAAGCAGCACACAACAGTGAACTAGCCGTAGCCTGTTAGCTTCCCGTTAGCCCCAGAAGCCGCTAACCCGTCCACTCTGAGGCACCGGCACCGCTTGTGATACAGAACATTAAGTGATATCGAAATATACATCGGGGGCTCAAGTAGCTTAATAGTATTTAACTATCGCTGTGGAGTTAATTTAAAGACGGAGAGGGGACCGTGACAGGCAGAGGTTGGGACCAGCGGGACGAAACTAAAGCGGAGTCCTCAAGTGGCCGTTCACCGTTCACCATGGACAACGCACACACGAAGACGGTCGAGGAAGTTTACAGCTTTTTTAACGTGAATGAAAGCACGGGTCAGAGTTTAGAGCAAGTGAGGAAACAGCGGGAACGATTCGGAGCAAACGGTGAGTAGCTGGTTAACAGTGCTTGGGTGGCGGGGAGGGGGGAGGGGGGGGGGGTCATCATAACCATGGTAGTCACTCTGCCGGTGTCCTGGCCCATGGCTGCCGATTTGTAACGGGGCGACATGCCGAGCGAAAAAAAAAAAAAAAAGGAAAAGTGTTGCCGTCACGAACTGTGTGTTGAAATACTGGAGAGTAACTTCACTTACTCTTAAAGAAAACATGTGTCCTCCAGTATACCATCTATCTTTATTATATTTGTTTATTGCCACAGAGCTTGATATCCAGTCAAAGCATATTTCTGACATTAAAGGCTTGTTTTATCTCTCTTGTTTTGCTGTCTGAATGGCCTGATGTGCAGAATTGCCAGCTGAAGAAGGTGAGTGTGTACACCTATATACTCCTATTTGTTTATTGATAGGAAAATATTCACATTTTTAAATTTTTTGAATTTTTTTTAAATGAAACCTCTTTTCCAGGAAAATCCCTGTGGGAACTAGTGGTTGAACAGTTTGAAGATTTGCTTGTGAGGATC